TAAAAACAATTTTATTTATTTAATAAAAAAATGTAGGTATAATATGGTTTATAATTATTTAATAATAAAAAAAGGCATATATTTAAAATAATTCTATGAAAATTAACTTATTTAAAAGATTAAGGCATGTATTTAAAATAATATTAAGACATTTTAAAAGTATTAAGGCAGACAAGTTAAAAAACTAAGTACTTTATGAATATCCCGCCCCCACCCTTATTTGAGTCTCAGATTTTGCTGTCTTTAATGTCAATCATTTTTCCTTAAAAGATTACTGGTAAAGAGCAAGTATTAGGAAGGAAAAATAGCCTTCGGCGGCAAAAATCGGTCTAGCGGAAAAATTTATCATTTATAAAGAAGGAAATCTGACCATTCCGAGGCATGAAAAAAAAATTAATCTGAGACTCAAACAGGATTGTGGGCGAAATATTAATAAAGTAACAAAAACTAAGTATAAATAACATTAGCAAATAAAACAGGGATCCTCTTGCCTTAATTTTAAAAAGTAATAATTTTAGTATTAAGTATTGGCTGAGGATCCCTGCCCATCGCGTGCGCGCCCGTCAACCGCCGAGCCATGAAGCATGTCACGGCGGCAATACGGGCACACACGTGAGCCTTGCGCCCACTGAACAAAACAATTATAATGCATTTTGTGGAGGCATGCCATAAAAACAACTCGGGTGCCTGCAAAAGGCTCCTGGCAAAAGCATTCTTCCTCTTGGGCGTCAAAATTAGGAGGGAGCGTTACCACATGTAAGGCAAATTTTTTTACCTCCCGCGCTCCCAAGCCCTCATTATTCTCATCATCCTCAGGGACCTCCAACTCCAAACCATTTTCACGGAAAAAATATGCAGGTCTGCGGGGTGGAGTCACTTCCACAACTTCTTCGTCATCATCATCATCATCATCGTCCACGATGACAGCTCTCACTAAATAAAAATTTTTTGTTAGGATAGAATAAAACCAGTACCCCTCCCTAAAATCAATACCCCCCCCCCCCCCCCCTCCCTCCCTAAAGACAACTTCACAACTAGAAAACTAACCGTTATTTTGAACGGCCTCCGGATTGACATATACTCCAAGAGGTGGAGTTCTGCCAATACGGCCACGCAAACGTGGAGATACAGCCCTTGAAGCTGGGGGCCTTCCAGAAGCCCGGAGCGCCGATGTTGCAGCGGCCACTTCACGCTCGCGGGCATTCTGGAAGGCCCAGAATGGTGATGGCGATGGAGATGCTGCTAAGGATGATGATGATGACTAGAATATATTTTTTAAAAACAATAGTTATATTAATTAATTTTAAAAAATTTTTATTTTAAACAGGGTTACGATCAACAAAAAACGATTTAAAAGTACATAGGGACTAAATTTCCGAATAAAAAGTGCCCTCCAAATTAAACTAGAAAATATTTATTGTCAAAAAACATGACTAATTTTATTCTTTTATATATTTTCTCCTATATGAATCATTTCAAATAATTTCTTGGTTCCACAGAGCATTTTGTACATTTAACTAATTATTTATATATTATTTAAATATTCCAAACAATGTTCATTATAAATAATTTATTAAAAAATTTCAACCAAAAAGTAGATTATTCAACAATTTAAAAATTAATTATCAAATTTTAAAGTAATAAAATTAAAAACTATATTCTCGACCATTACACAATTATTAAATATTTTAGAAATTAATTAAAAAACACTTTTTTTCAAAATATATACGTATATATTGTAACGAGATTTTTTTTCAAAATATATTACTACATCCGAGATAAAAATAATTTTTTAATTTTATCAAAGAAAAATAGCAATTCAATTAAACTAAAAAATAGAAATTCCTAAATTGAATTGTCAATAAACATGATTAATTTTTTTTAAAAAAATTAAATTAATTAGATAAAATTTAAAAAAACTTATCCTTCTAATTTTTAAATAAATTAAATGATATTTTAAAAATAAATTTTTTCAAAAAATATTACATCAGAGATTAAAAAAAATTTAATTTTATCAAAGACACATGAATTTTATTTAATAAAAAATTTATAAATTGCAATTTTCAACAAACATGATTAATCTGTAAAAAATTTGAAATTAATTATATGAAATTTAAAAAACAATTTATTTTTTTTTCAAAAAAATGCTAAATCAATTAATTAGATAATATTTTAAAAACAAATATTTTTTTTTCAAAAAAATATTATTACATCTGAGATGAAATAAAAAATTTTATTTTATCAAAGACACATGTATTTTATTTAATAAAAAAATTTATATCCGTTTAAAAATAGTAATTCACAACAGTTAGAAATTGAAAGTGTCAAAAAACATGATTAATCTAAAAAAAATTTTGAAATTAAATGTATAAAATTAAAAAAAATTTTTTTTCAAATAATATTTTACATCTTGGATTAAATAAAAAAAATTTAAATTTATAAATGGCATATGAATTTTATTTAATAAACAATTAAACAATTTAACAAAATTAAATTTAAAAATAGAAATTCCAAACATTTATAAATTTAAATTGTCAAAAAACATGAATAATTTTTTAAAGAATTGAATTAATCAAAGAATTTAAAAAAACAAAAAGAGATTAATAACATTTTTTAATTTTATTTAAAAAATATATGAATTTTATTTAATAAAAAATTAACAAATTTAATTAAATTTAAAAAATAGAAAAATTGAAGTTGTCAAAAAATGATTATTTTTTTTTAACATTTGAAAACTGATTTTTTTTTTCAAAAAATATACGATTTTTTTTAAATCATGAAAACATTCAAAAATAAATTTTTTTGACAAAGCTAAGTTAATTTGATTAATACAATGAATAAAAAATTCTTTAATTTTAATTACTAACTAAATTATTGGATTTAGAATAAAACATTTTTTAATTGAGTGAAAATTACTTAAAATTAAAAATAATTACTTAAAAGAAAATCCAAATTATTTTATTAATCCTCGATTATTTTATTAATCCTCTATTCACTGAATTACTTAAAATAAAATATAAATTACTTAAAAGAAAATATTAAAAAATTTTATATCTAAATATTGAATAATTTTTCTAAAATATCTACCCCTCGATCTGTAGCACGCTCACGATTTGCACGTGCATTAGTTTGAGAATTACGAGGAACTGGTGCTGCGACTACGTTGTTTGTAGAGCTGCTGCTGCTTGTTCCTTGCCCCTCTCTTTGCATGGACATATTTCCTAATAAAAAAAACACAATATTTTTTTTCCTCCTATTATTATTATTACCAATAGGAAGTACGTTGTTTGCCGCGCCGTTTGTTCCCTGCATCTCTCTTTGATTGGCAATATTTCCTACTAAAAATTACACGAATATATTTTTTTCCTATTATTATTACCAATAGGAATGTTGTTGTTGTTATCAGCGGGAGCCTGCTGCAAATCATTGTTGTTGTTAGCTACGTTGTTGTTGTTGTTTGTCCCAGTAATAGCAAATGCTGACGCACGTGTAAATCGCAAAACAAAAGGTACGGTGCCCGTCCACCGTCCTCTATTGTCCCCTTGTTCCACCACCGTAAGTGCGGTAAATGTGCAGATCTTGAAAAAAAAATCATTTCAAAGAATAAATTTTTAAATTACCTCATTAACCCGGGCAGTCTCAAGAATAGCAGCGCATTGATCATAAGCATATATGCCAACAGTCTGAGTATCAGTGCCAAAGCCAAAACTAACACGAACGTCACACCGATCAAAGCTGCGTCTAAGAGTTGCACCACGATGTACAAATTGAACAAGCCCAGTCAAAGAACTAAAATTTTTAAATTAAATTTTTAATTTTTTACACAAAAAAATTACTTAAACACGTGATTTGTGCGCCACCCTGCAAAGGCATAATTGCTTGATGTCAGGCGATTCCGAATATCTATGAGTGGTAGAAGCATAGCCGCATGCGGCATTTCAATAATAGTAGCACGTGCCCTTTCAGCGGCTATTATTGCCTCCAACTTTATGAAAATAAAAAATTTTTTATTACACATAAAAAGAATTTAATAAAAATTAAATTTTTAATAACAAAATTAATTTAATTATTTGTAAAAATTACATCAATATTGTTGTTTGGTAAGTTATTGTTGTTGTTTAGTAAGTTGTTATTGTTGTTTGGTAAGTTGTTTGGAAAGTTGTTGTTGTTGTTGTTGTTAATGTTATTATTTGCAGCTGGTAGAATATTAACCCCATTGTCGATCCGCGCTCTATTAGTAGGTGGCGCATCAGAAGAATTACTAGCTGGTCGTCGTCGATTGGAACTCATTATTAACTAAAAAATTAAAGTGAATATTAAAAAATTATTTTCATAAATTAAATTGAATACGGGAGATAATAAACTTTAATTTTATAAAATATTTACAAAAAAAAATAAATAAAATTTATAAAATGAAGTAATGAATTAATGAAATAAGGAGGGGTTAATTTTTGCTCCTTGCACAACCCGCCCATCTACTCGGAAATTTTGTAAAGTTTGACCCGACTGAGAAAAAAGTTTTTAGGTCTTTTTATATTATCAACTTAATTGTTTTTAAATTTCCATCAATTTTTTATAGTCGGAAGTAACTTGTACTTCACACAATCTTTTTTTTTTACAAAAGGTTGACCGGAAAGAGAAAAAAGGAGCAAAAACCAACCCAAAAAGTCAACTTTTTTGCAGGATCAAAACTATTTAATTTTTAAAAATTTTTAAAAAATTACTTCAAATGTATATTTATCGATGAATGGCCAGCAAAATCCATTTTCCTCCCACTATAATTTGGTCTTCAACGGCACATACCCTCAGCACTATCACAGAGATTGTCATAAGCGCCACCAGGATCGCAATCACTAGAAAAATATTTACAAAACTAGGCGAATTTATAAAATATTTTTATATCAAAAATTTTAATTACATTCATAATTAAATTTAAAAAAAATACAACATTATGGATATGTTTCATAAAAATTTTACAAAAAAATAAATATAAAATTTTTTTACCAAGTCTTGTATCCATTAGGATCGTCAACACTTAGTCCATAATGTCCTTGAAGACAATGATCACATTGTTCTCCCATTACAAGAGCTTTACATGTACACTTTCCTGTCACTTTGTCACAACCTTCATTCCCATAAGTCCCTATTAGATTCCAAGAACATGGCCGACAACCATCAGGATCTTCTTTTCTCATTTCCCAAAATCCATTTTTACATCGTTCACAACTTTAGATAATTGAGAAAATTTGTTGTTTTCTCAATATTTTTAAAATTACTTTGGCCCATCAACATTGCTTTTGCAATAACATTTTCCTGCAAACAATCCACGTTCTGGGTCTTCTTCACCCTCACAAATTCCTTCGAATTTAAAACCACTGTGATCGCATTGGCATGGTCTGCAGACGTATGGATCTCGAATGGATCTAAAAATATATTGCCGTTAAAAAAAACATCAAGAATTATTCAAATTCCGAATTTTTTATTTACTAAACCCAAAAAAAAAAGATCAATTACTTAAACAATGTCAATGAAATTTTTAAATATCGGGACTTTGTAAAACTCTGTAAACTTAAAATATTTTCTCTAAAATAAATAAATAAGCCTCGTTTATAGAATATATTGGAAGGGGATTAGAAAATATTTTTAACTTTAATCTTTATTTTATCTAGATGTCCATACTATTATCCTTAAATCGCCTAAATATCAAATACAACTTTGCCATTTTTTTCTAAATTTTTACCTTTGAGGATCTCGATAAAAATTTAAATTGCATTGCTCACAATTGTTTTCCATTGTGTTATGTTGACAATCATCACGAACACCTCCAGAAGAAAATCCAGAAAAATTATAAACTACTCAATCAAAATGGCAACTAAAAAATATTTGTTACACATTATTTTTAAAAAATTAATTACCGAGTAGCATGATCATTACATTCGCATCTTTTACATTCATTTGATTGATCTTCAATGCCTGGTCTCCATGGTGAATCGTTGTGAAAGTCTTCGCAGTCATCACTATTCATTCCATTCATGTTAGGAGTACATTCACATTTTCCATGTCCCATATCTGGCAATCTTAAAAGGTAAAAGTTGGGAGTGTTAACATTTATAGAATATTCGATGTAAAATTAAAAATATTTTTTGAAATAAAGATTCTGAACTGGTAAAGCTGTCCGAGTAGATCAAAATACTTAACAGACATTGTCTGAATATCATAGGAAATTATACTAATTACTATGCAGTTAGTATAGTTCAATTTAATAAAATATAATTATTTTTATTACATTGCAAATATCAAAGGCAGTTGTTTCAAAAACAAGTACAGGACCTGTAGAGCCAATTATAGTTAGAGGCTGGCCACTGAACAAGTGATATATGATGCCACAGATCGCACCGCTAGCTAAGTTCTGCATTACTGCCTTTAAAAGAATTAAAAATATTCCTTTAATTAAATAACCATTCTTTGATGAGTAGCTTCTTCAAGAAGACCACCAAAAGTTACAATTGGGGCCAACAGTGCAAAATACATAAAACAAGTAGTTGCTATACATTGAAGGTTTGACGCATCAGTAAAATCGGATAAATAATGTGGGGCTTTCCGACTTCAAAAATTAAAATTTATTTTTAAATTAACACACCGAATATCTAACATTAAACCCCCAAACAATTTCCCAGTTCTGCGTAAACCCGGATCTTGACCGTGACCGACCTCTTCTTCTAAATCAGTTACAATTAATAACATTAAAAATTATTTTTTTTAAAACCTTTTTCCCAGCAAGTTTAGAACCTCCAATTCCACAAGGTAATCCAGTTGTGGAATCCTCAGTACTAGTTCCTGCCAATTAATTGAGGAAAATTTGTCACTTCTAGCTGAGGGCTTTTGCTAATAATTTTAAATTTTAATATATATATAAGTATTCTAAAATGCACTAACTTGAATACGGCTCTGTTGATTAGGAATTGTACTAGGAGGCTCAATTCGAATGCTAAAAATTAAAAAAAATAATTTATATTTATTTATCAAAAAATTCCGACCTCGGATCCCATTCGCCGGTCATTAAACGGCCAGTGCATCTAAGACTTCATCAAACCATCTAGTAAATCCGAACGTTGTTTTGCCTTGTAGGCAACTTTATGGAATAACCACCATAAGTATTAAGGCAGCAAGTTCCCCGTCACTCCAAATTTGGTGACGGGGAACTTGGAGAATCTGCTAAAAAATTAAAAGTTGCAAACAATAGTTAATGCAAGAAAAAATTAAAATAAAACGGGCAAAATAAATCTAACTGTAAAATATCTGAAAGCAAAAGAATTGGATAAAAAATTTCTATCGATTTACTTAAAAACACCTAGTTGTTAAAGAGAGTATGCCCCTGCAGAAAGAAAAATATAGCCAAACATTTTTGTTCTTAGTAACAATGGCGAACAAAATAAAAAGTATAATATACATAACACCAAATGTTTAACACTATGCCAAATACATTATTTGAAAATTTTCCATTTTAAAATTGGCACTTTGAAATTTAGGTATTTTTACTCTTTTTCTTACTGTACACCTCAATTGAGTACCAACTCAACTGAGTCCCGGACCCTATAACTTACGAAGGAAAGGTCACTATTTTTTTGCTCTAGGTACCATTGGATAGAGCATTAAATAGGCTACTGGTAAAAAAAAAAAGTTATGATCTATAAAGTGACGAAAAATCAGATTTTTTTTGAAAAAGTTAGTTTTTTAAATCATTGCTTTTTTTTTAACAATCAATCAAAAATTTTGAGTTTTTGGTAGATTTGGAAATTTGAACAAAGGACATTTAAAGTATTCAACAGTTCAATAGGAAAAAAGCTTTCCAATAGGTTCATGATGCATTAATAGTAAAATTGATTTAGCTTCTTAATAGCTTAGTTGGTAGAGCATCCGCCTATACAGAGAAGGTCGCCAGTTCGATCACTGCCGAGCGGCTTTTATTTTAAAAGTATTTTTAAAAATTGGCAACTTGGCAGTTGACATTTTGTCCCAGGACGTTTTGTCATGTGGCATTTTGTCGCATGCCAATTGACCGACCGCTCAGGCCAGCCCCCTCCGGCCGGCCAGGGAAAAATTCCTCTAACACCCCTCGCCCGATATTTGTCTCTCCTATAATTGTGTAGTCTATCATCAATCAATAATTTATTAGTGGACATATAGTAGTGATAATAATTAATATTATTTAATTTATAAAAGGCTTTAACTATTTAAAAATATTTTTGAAACTCAAATTCTGATAAATTTTGTTTTAAATATACATAGGTATTTACTGTGTTTTTTCCTTACCTAAGAAATTTGAAAAAAAACTAGATACATATATTTTTCAATAAATTTCTTGAGGAATTTATTTGAGAGTGATTGTTTTATTTAGGTGTTTTAAAATATTTAATAAAACCCTTAAAATGTGAAATAAAAAATTTAATTTAATAGGCAGAAAAAAGTTAATTTTTTATTAAAATTAAAAGACAAAAATTATATTTATTAATTAATATTTATTATTTCCTTCTTGTCATCATTTCAGTAAATTCTAAAATTAAAAAATGTTAAAAATATTTTTCTTAATCCTTACCAATAAAATTAATTTTTCCATCTTTATTAGTATCAACTTTTAAATAAATTGCTTTTATCTCTTTATCATCTAAATCATGTCCCATTTTTTGAAAGGCAGTTCTTAGCTCTGATCTGAAAAATGTTCTTTTAGTCGTTCCTTTATTCTATATATCCTTTTCCTACATGCTTTTGATCTCGCAAAATAATATAAAAATAAATCTTTATGAAAAGAAGCGAAGAGGCGAAAAACTTTTTAAAATTTTACTCAAAGGAAAAAACAAAAATTGTGTAATTTTGCCTGTCTAATAATTATTTTGTTTTCTTTAAATATTAATGTTGACATTTTTAAGAATTATAGGTAAATGGGAGGAGCTAAAAAACTTTTTAAATATTTGAAAGATTTAATCCCACCCATACCAAGTATAAATATCATTCAAAGACGAAGAACAAATATCTGTGTTTAATCATTTAAATTAAATAAATTTTTAATTCTATAGAAACCAGAGGTGGGTCGGAATTCCGATTTCCGACTTCCGATTTCCGATTTCCGACGTTTTTTTCCTTCCGATTTCCGATTTCCGAAATTTTGGAAAAATTTCCGATTTCCGAGAATTTTTGAAGCATATTTCCGACTAGAGATTTTTCCAAAATTCTCAAAATTTTCGCCTGCGGCGCAAAAATTCGAAGAACTCTAACTTAAAAACCTCCAAAATTCTCAAAATTTTCGCCTGCGGCGCAAAAAATGGAAGATTTTTGGCTTAAGGCTCCCAAAAATCCCAAAATTTTTGCCTGCGGCGCTGTAAATGGAAGTTGAATAGTATATCGGAGGATTAGGTTAGATTAATGTGGACTTTGAGTTATATCGTGTGATTACGAGGGGTCATAGGCTCTATCAGTCCTCAATTTTAAACTCCAAATATCCCTATTAATTCTATAAATTCTCTGATATCCCGTCTAATCTACCAAATCCTACAATATCTCTTTTAATCACTTCGAATTTGACTTTTGAGTTGCAAAAAGAACTTTTACACCCTCAAATTACACTTAAGAAGGCCAATAATTTACCACCTTACAATTTTAAATAAATTTCAGTTATGAAAATAAAAATTTTATTTCCGATTTCCGCCTTCCGATTTCCGATTTCCGGCGTTTTTTTCCTTCCGATTTCCGATTTCCGAAAAAAAATTTTGATTTCCGATTTCCGAGTTCCGACTTTTGAGCCATTTCCGATTTCCGACAGTTCCGATTTCCGACATCTCTGACTGTTCCGACCCACCTCTGATAGAAACTATAATAAAAAATTTTTTACGTTTTTATATTCCTGAAAAATAATTTAAAATTCATATGTAAAAAGATTTTTTCCGGAAAGTTTTTATTATTTTAGGCTTATATTTACATTCCTGAATGTGTTCTATTCTATCTCCAATAAGTTTTTTTAAAACACATTTAATTGTGTTTTTTGTAAAGTTTTTATTAATTGAAGTTTTTTTGGGTACTTGACGGATATACGCCCACAAACTGAGTGGCATCCGACATTGATTGTCTATAACTTTTTTGAGCTTGGTCCAATTCAAATAAATCTTATAATTCGAAAGCCCTCGATAAGCGGTACCTTATTCTAATATCAATTCTGATCATTCATTTAAAAG